GTGAGCGGGCGAGTCGGCTGGTGTCTGAGGGGCGGGGCAGCAGCCCCGTTCGGATCCACTGGGTCCACCCTGCCAGGCAGACTTGGTCACAGGCAAGAACATGGTCCCTGTCACAGCGGGAGGCGCGGGTGGGGACGAGAGCGGGGGCTTCCCGTGGGCGGTGGTCTCTGTGTCAGGTCACCACAGTGGCTCCTGCTTGCCCCAATTCTGTCAGACATGGGGCTGGGGGCCGTGCCCAGGTCCGGCGTCCTCCTGCCGGCTCACGGCTCTGACATCTGTCCTTCCCACAGATGTTCAAGCCCCTTGTTGCTGCTGGGCAGACCGCCCGCTGATTTGAACGTTCTCGTGGCTCTTTTAAGCAGCAGATTCTTGAAAACCTGGCCCACAGGCCCCCCCCTCGGTGGCTCGCCCCTGTGCCGATGGGTTCCGTGCAGCGTGACCTGCAGAGGTTACGGGGTGCCCACCTGCCCCTCATCGGAGGACAGGAAGGGTCTGGGGACGGGGTGGGTGTCCTTGATGACCTCTGCCCCTGGCCCGCTTGGTCCTTGCCCATTCCAGGTCACCCCTACCCAGAACCCTGCTACCAGGGCAGCCCGGGCAGCTTTGTTGGTAACTGTCCATGGTGCTGACTCCCGAGGTCCTGGGACTGCAGTGCTCTGTCCTCTGAGTCAGCAAGGACTCTGGCCCAGCCTCTCCCCGAAATCCCACTCCAGAGGGGAGCAGGGGAGCCAGGGCAGGGCAGAGGGACCGTCTGAGAAATTTACGTGTCTCTTCTGGGGAGCTGGGGGCGGCATGCACCCCGCCAAGCTTTGCTGCTGAGGATGGGTCCCTGGCCCTCGTCCGGCTGCCGCCCGTGCCCCGCCGGCCCCTCCGCCCTCGCTGTCTGCCGCAGACCCTCCCGCGAGGTGCGAGGTGAGCTTCACGGCTGCATTTTTCCTTCTATAAAGTGAGGGTGCCAGCAGCTCCTGCCGCGTAGATGTGACCTGCGTGCTCCGTGAGGGGTGCGCAGACCTCTGAGCCCGGCGTCTGGCTTGTGGGAAGCACTGCGTCAGTGGTCAGCTGAAGGCTGTGCACCGACTAGAAAGTGGGGTCAGGGGCACCGAGCTTCCTTTGTTGTATTGAGCCAAAATCTGTGTATTCGAGCTGCCTAGTGGGCGGAAGGAGTTGTGCGGGGCGAAGCCTCGTGGCCCGAGGCAGCTAAGCAAACCCCAAGCTGCACGCAATCCACGGGGCCCCTCCCCGTGGGGGCCTTTCGGGCAATAGATGACTCAGCCCCTCCAGGTCACATACCCTGTCCTGTCCCCCGGTCCTCCACAGGCGGCTCAGAAATGCCAGCAGTTCTGGGGGCATTGAGGGTCCTGCCCCTGAGCCGCCCTGGCCTCCTCAGACACTGGCTGGGTCCTCGGCCTGCCGCTCAGCCCTGGTCTGTCTTGTTTCCTGGACACCTGTCACGGTGGACTGTGTGTGTCCCCTGAGCAGCAGACCTTTGAACTCAGAGTCCCAGCGGCATCCAACTGCTCATCAGATGAGGGACAGCTGAGGGCAAAGGTCACCCTGGATGATGGGGTCTCTGGGAAATTCTGGGCTGTCACCTTGAAAGGTCCTTTCTGCGCCCTTGGCTCTGGTGTCCCTTTGAAATGAAGGTGAGCCCCCTGAGGTCTGGTCCCCTCCACCTCCAGCTGTTCCCCAGTCCCAGGGGCAAGATGATGCCTGTGGTAGTCGTGCAACCGTGGGGTGAGGACCCCAGGCTCCTGCCACAGGGTATGTGCCCGAGAGGCCAGCCGATGTCCCCATTCTTCCCCACGTGGGGCCTGAATCCAAAGCGACTTGCAGGAACCTCCCAGCCCCTGCCCTCTCTGGGACCCAGCCTGTGTTGGCGGCTTCGGTGTCTCTGGAATGCCGTCCTCGGTGCGGAGCTGTCCCCTGCCTGCAGGGGCACCCTCGCTGCCCTGTCCCTGCTCTTCTTACCAGACTGGGACCTCGGCCCACACTGCCGACGGAGGGCCCGCGGCAGGGGCGCACTGTGACTCCCCAACCAGCCCGCTCGGGGGGCGCTGAAGTGGCCCTTCGAGCAAGGGTGTGTGGAGTGACCGTGCAATGACCCACGACATGTCCCTGGCCTGGAGACCCGGCACTCGCTTCATTTCAGCACTTGGTGGGTCTGAGGAGGCCCCTGTTTTGTCTGGAATCTGCCCGGAGGTCAGAAGGAGGCCACCCCTGCGAGCCTGGGGCTGGTTGTCTGCTGGGTGGGTCCCCTGCCGGGCCAGCCAAGGGGGGCCAGTGGTCCCCACATGGACAGGAAGCCGCTTTCTCAGGCCCTGTTCCACTAAGCCGCTGGGTTCTGCAAACACCCGCAGCAGAAGTTAGCACCTTCCCACGCACCGCGGGCGGGTGGCCGAGTCGTGAAGGGGCTCGAGTCCGGGGGCTGTTTCTTTACCCAAACACACTGGGATTAATTAGAGAGAAACAGCCAAGGACCACACCAGCGAGGGGGCTTCAGGAGGGTGGAATGGGGAGGGGACATCTCAGCGAGAACCCCCGGCTGGCCCGAAGGCCAGGGGCCGGGCCCCCACCTGCCAGGCCTGCCGCAGTCCGGGGTCAGCCCTCCCTTCCGGGCAGACGCGCTGCCCGCCCAGCGGCACCTACACACACTCTCTTCTAACGGTTTGGCCATTTCACGCTGTCCCCCTCACGAAACTGGAGGGCAGGGACTGGGCGGAGAACCAGGCACAGGAGCACTTGCAGAACACGCCAGGAATTTCTCCCTGGGCCGAAACAATTTATATCCCGTCGCTGAACTTTACAGCAGCGCCTGAGTCGCTATTTCTTACCTTCCAACAGCGTGGCAGACAGTGAGACGTCAGACGGCCATGACGTCCTCCAGCGGTCTGCGTCTCTTCTGCTTTAATCTTGGCTCCGTCTGAAAGTTTCGGGTGTGAGTCTGGTGGGTACAGGTTCCAGGAGCTAATTTGGGTTGTCCTTTAGGCGGGGGAAGGAATTTTTATTTTGCTCAAGAAAAACTTAAGTCCAGGAGTGAGGGCTGCAGGCATAGCTTGATCAAGGAGCTGGAGCATGCGGTGGCGTTTTCCTGTCCCCTGTGCCGACTTCATTCATAGGCAGATCCTTCCCAAAGGCGGGGAAATGGTGCCAACAGCCACAAAAGCCCTTTCTCACTCAGCAAGCCCTGAACAAAGGGCCTGCGGTCGACCCTCACTGGATGAACAGGATTGGTGCAGGATGGCATGTGGCCTGCATTTCTCCAATGAGGGCCTGCCCAGGTCTTCTGAATGTGCTGATTGGCCAGGTCTGGAGAGGAGGTGGGTCATTCCAGGGAAGCACAGGGAGGTCCTGGGAAGGGACAGACAGCAGGCCCTGAGGGTGCAGCTGGTCACCCACCTTCTCTGCCCACTTGGATGCTGTTTTTACCACATGTGACAACGTTTCTAGTCTCTCTCCTGCTCTGTCCACTCATCTCCAGCCGAACT